TCACAAACAAAATATTTAATGCGTATCTTATATTGTTTCCCATTGTGATCAAAACCCTCAGTGCTTAATAGACCAAGCTGACATGTTTGAAGAATTCGAGAGAGGCAAACCATCAACATTAATTTCTAATTCAATGATAGAAGATATCAATTTCAACCTATCAATAGAATCTTTCAATCCAGTTAATAAACCAAAATGAATATATTCACCTAGACTTACAACTTTTGATACAGCAGTTCTTTTTGTTTTCAGAAGTGTTCTACTATCTGCTGGTAAATCACTGAAACAGTCATGAAGTTTTAGCCCTTTAAGTAGTGCGAATACAGCATTATGAGGTATCTGATAATTCACAGCCTAGTCTGCTAAAAATTGTCTTGCATCAAAAACTTCAGTTATATCTTCATTGGAACTATCCTCGCTATATGAAAGAGAAATATAATCATTTGTTTCAACATTACCCTGTAATCTGTTGTAAAAGCACTGTACTAGGCAAATCAATATTATCCTTTTCGCATTCAGAGTTCTGCAAAACACTTTCCGAACGAAATTTCTGCATTTCCCAAAAAAGTCTTCTATGAAAATGTCTATCTGACACAGTCGCAATGTGTTTGCGATTTTTTTTATCAGACATATTTATTTATAGAATTTTTTTTGACAAATTACAGAGTCAAACAACAAACAAATTACGAATATATTATATTCTAATTTTGTTTAGGATTTCAGTAGCATAAGTATACTTATACAGCACTCAGTTTATACTTGTTTATCTATGACAGTCTTGACCATTATTATATTGTCTAGGGTCTTGACTTCTTGAGTTAGGTCTTGAGTCATCAAACAAAGAAATGCAAACGACGCCGAACAACATAGAAGTGCCGCCATCTGTGCGCTAGTTGCAAAACGCCGCGCACCGTATGCGCATGCGCGGTGTGTTTGAATACATTTTTCATTTGCCCATAACAACTCGGTGAGCAATAGGTAAGAGTACCCATTGTTTGACCCGGCGGGTAACGTATGGGTCTAAACCCACTGCGTCATAAATTGGCCCATAATGGGCTTATAATAACCCGGTAGGCTGTAAATGGAACCAAACAGGTCGACCATTGTTTGACCCGTGCTGTATTAAACAAATAATTTTAATTTTGCAATTCAGTTTATATAATTCTTATAGATATTAGACAATGTTACAATATTTTTAATAATCTATTTGAAAACATTCAGTATTCCTCGAACATTTCGTTACGGTACGGGAAGTTCCAGCAATTTGCCTCAAGGCACGATGCCATACACCCCACTAGTTTTATGTATTTTTTATGCCACATTAGAGAAAAATAAAAACAAACTAGTTGGTTTGGTATTTAGCCTTGAGGCAAGTTACATGAACTTCCCGATATATTTAAATAATCGACTTAATCAATAAAAAATAAATTAATTTATGAGTCATTAAAAGTATTCCGAGTGGATTTATTACACATAATTGAAAACGAACGAACTCGGAGTATTTTCTAAAAGCAAATTTTCAAAAATCAATAATTTTTATAATTGAACCAGTTTTCAGGACTTTAATGATTTATTATGTTCAAGACCAAGTACTCTATCATTATACCAAGTAAATAGTCTAATTTTAATTTTAACAAATGTCAAAAGAGCTACTCATTTTCTCAAACTTTGATGAATTTTTAAAATCAAACTATTTGTCTTAATATTTCAGTAAGTTCTATAAGACCATGGTATATATCGCTAAAAAAAAATCCATAAAAATCGGCTTAAATTTTTTTTTCAACGGTTAATTACAAGAAAACGGCTCGGTAGATTTTCACCTAAAACTGATCAGTATCATTCCCAACTAATATCTTTCGAACAGTTTTTGATTTTTTAAAATCGGTTCAGTAGGATGAGCTTAAATGTGGACGAAAAGTTTAACACTTTTTTTCAAATTACAAAGAAACGGCTTGGCTGATCGTCGCACAAAACTGACAAACGATAGTCTTCCCCGAAATACATAAAATGGCTTTTAAATTTCTGAAATCGGTTCAGGCGCTTTTGAGAAAACGTCGATCAAAAGTCTAATTTTGACAAATGTCAAAAAAACTATACCAATTTTTGCAAACTTTGACAAATTTTTAAAGCTAAACGAGTTGTCGTAGGGCCGTAATATTTTAGTATGACCTAGAAAACTATGGTATCTACCGTCAAAAAAAAAATCATAAAAATCGTTGAAATTTTTTTTTAAAAAACGTTATTACAAGAAAACGGCCCGGCCGATCTTTACCAAAAACTAATCAGCACGATTCCCAACCAATATCTATCGAATGGTTTTTGAATTTTCAGAATCGATTCAGAATTGCGGGCTAAAACGTGGGCGAAAAATTTTTCACTTTTCTGCAATTTACAAAGAAACGGCCCGGCCGATCGCCGCACAAAACTCAGAGACGATAGTCCTCATCGAGATACATCAAATGGCTTTTAAATTTTTGAAATCGCTCCAGCCGTTTTGGAGAAAACGTCGATTTACGGCAAAAAATCTGTTCACATACATACACACACACACACATACTTTTTCTAAATTTGGTCTCATTCGATTCAGAATGGCTTGAAACGTCGAGAAAACATAAAATTAGCCATTCGGATTTTTTGATGAAAACATAAACTTCTCCTTCGGGAAGTTAAAAAAATGTCGAAAAATTAAAAAAAGTAAGGGCGAACACAACCCTTATTACTTAGGGGTACGAAAAATAGATAGTTACCGATTCATAGATCTACTCATGGGGAGTTATCTTCGAACAAACGCGCGTTGCACTGTTTTGGTCGTGAGTAGTTTCAATTTTTAAAAACAGATGGCTCATGTGCACTCAATTTCAACTACAAATTGTTCGTGGTTCATGCAAGTGGCTGTCAAGTATTTGATCGCTGTATGGCTGTACGAATAACCTAACTTTTTGAACTCGTGTTGTTTCTAATTAATTAATTTTGTTTAAGTGAATATTTGTGAAATTTAGTATGGCAAAGTGTTTTTATAGTACCCAAAAAAGTGTCAAGTGCGGGTTAAAATATTTAGCTATTCCAATACAAGTTTCCGCAAAGGTATTTTTTAATAATAATTGCAGCAATAATTATATATAATCAAGATATGTCAACATGTTATTATATTGAATAGGTGTCTTGGGGGTACCTGCAAATTGCTGCAAAATGCACGAACAAAGCGCAGGAGTACTTTTGACAACCAAGGAATGCAATATGTAATGACAAGAAGGATTCATAAACAATGCAATAATTTAAGGAATAAGTCGTACAAAAAGTCTCCAAAGGTCTACTATTTTTGGAGACAAATATTTATTTTGCCATGTCCTCAAACATTGAGAAAGTTGCATTCAGAGATACAAGTGTATAGCGGTATTTATGAGTGTCTATTTAAAACATTAGGTTCAGCTATTTCTTTTAAAAAGTATTAGTAGCAGATACTGTGTTTTGATGTTTGATGAAATACCATTATCTTTGGAATTGTTATATGATTGGATTGAATCTCATATTGTTGAAGTTGCAAAACAGTTATTCAGCTAGTATGGTTTAAATGTTCATCAACGTAAGTTCATTGTTATATTTAATAAGATTATCTATTACATTAGCAAATGTAAACACTTATAAAGTAAACTAGTATTGGTTTAAATGTTCATCAACGTAAGTTCATTGTTATATTTAATAAGATTATCTATTACATTAGCAAATGTAGACACTTATAAAGAGAGTCTATACCATACATAATATTTTAATGTATTTTGATTGAAGATTAGTGTTATAATATTCTTCAAATAAAACTTGTACAAAGCAACATTCCAATATAATGTTTAAATTCAAGACATATTTGTTACCGACCTTGGGAATCAAAAATATTTCTTTTATCTTTTGATTCATAAACAATTGTATGTGCATAAAACATTATTCTGTTCATTGTAAACACTTTGTTGATCTTTTATGGCAATTTCAATGATAATGTTTTCATGATGGAACATGGCTAAATGTAATGTTATAAAACACTCGTACAGAAACTATTCGAAGGTTTTGTTAAATGCAACTTTACTATTAATTCATTAGATAGCGAAATAACTATAGTTTTTAAGATTTTAATATATTAATATTAGTCATTAAGTAATTAATATTAGTCAGTTATTTGTGCTTAGTTTAGTTAAATACTTCTGTGATTTTCTTCACTTAGATATTTAGTTTTTGAAATATTATTTAAGCATAATTGTGAAATTATAATACTTTTATAATTATGTATAATAATTATTATATTTTCAAACATTCCATAACTGTAATTATAATTGTTAATATAAACATAATTTTAATTGTTCTTTAAACATATGTAATATCTTTGAAAATATATATTTTGTATTTCGTATGATTTGTTCTTATTTCCAATATTAAAAATTATTCAGGTTTTTGGGGCTGTATACAATACGTACAAATTAAGAAGTAAAACCAGGGGTAATTTAAATATTATACATGTGCTGCCATCTATTTTTAAAAATTTGTATTTCAATCAAGGTAACGTCAAACCGCAAGACATAGCGATCTATTATACTTGTTTATCTATGGATCTACTGAACACTCATATAGAATTTGGTAAGAATCGGCAAAGCCGACTTCGGAGGAGTACAGCAACAGCAACGAACTCTGTGGCGGGCCAATTTTATATATAAGATCATAGATAAACAAGTATAAGATATAAAAGAATGAAAGTAGCTAATGAATTATCTCGTTTCATTCATTTATGTTAAACGTATCATGAAGGATGCACGAAAAGGCTTATTTATCTATGCAGGTATTCATAGATAAACAAGTATATTTTAAGTAGGCATTATTTCCTTATCTATGTATGCTATGTATGTATGTATCACATCAATAAGTGCAAGGTCTGACGCTAGGGGCATACCGGGCATACTACACACTACACTCTCTGTCGCCACGTAACTTCGCTACGTGAGGCAGTCAGTATCGCTATCTTATCTATAACATTCTGCTAGTGCTCATCTATGGCAGTATCGAATGTTAGGTTGTGTGTAAAATAATGACTTTTTAATGATTTATTAAATTAAATTAAGTTTGCGCCTAATAATGATAAAATAAAGGTGTCGTTGATTAAAAGTGTTGTGTTGAAAAGTTAAGAACGTATGTTAGTTTGGTAAGCTACGATTTTTTATTAAATTTGCATCGATGACGTTTGACTTGACTAGGGCCGCTTCATTCTCTTTCAAAATTATTGATGTCATTGATTATTAAAATACTCTAAGATTTTAAAATATGCATAACTCATAAGAGTTGACTATGCTTATATATATATATATATATATATATATATAATTTTGAATTGTCGTATATAAGAAAATGTTTTCTTACATTGCCCAATCCTGTCATAAATATATATTTTCTTAGCAATTTGAATATAATTCTGGTAAAAGGTTATTATACACACACACATATATATATATATATATAAAATATATATAAATATATATATATATATACAGGGCCGGATTTAGAAATTTGGCGCCCTTGGGCCTTGACAAAAATGCCACCCTATCGCTGAAATTTTACTTAAATATATTTAAGTAAATAAAAACTATAGTTTTTATATATCATTTTTTAAATTAAAATAACTATTTGATTTCAGAAAACTTATTAGGCATTACATACTATAAATTGTGGTGCTTGGCATCGTGCCTTATGGCAAAGTGCTGCAACTTCCCATACCAAAAATTAAAATTAAAATAATTTTTTTTTTCGAAAACTGAAAAAATTGACATTTTTGTGAAAATTTTGTGGTTTTTTATACTTTGAAATATGTTAAAAATTTTGAACTTTTTTAAAGCAATTGCGCTGCTTTAGCTGCGTAGACACAAAATATAGAAGCATGTAAGCGCGATAAAAAATGTTACAGAACCCATAGAAATGTATACAAAATTTATACTTATCTGATAATTTGATGTGCATATGTCTAATAATCACTTTTAGCCGCCAAATGCTTTCTTTCCATTTTTTTTCCAGTTCTTCATTTTGTCAATACATGTACATTTTTTAATGATATTGAACGCTCCGTTTCTTAACAACTAAATTATCATTTTTGGAATTCTGGCCCGTATCTTCGAAACAGTTGAACGTGCCTTGGCCAATAACTAAACAACACGTCTTCTTATCAATAGGAATCGAATCATTTAAATCAGTTGATCCGTGTTCTCGAAATCGACTTGAATAATTAAAAAAATATTAGATTTGTGTTGATGGGGAGACGTGCTGATTAGTTTTTGGCACAAGCAGGTCCAGCCGTTTCGAAAAATGGTAATTGAGTTTCGATATTTCGCCTCTAAAACAGCTATTCAGCGCGAATGCTTTGAAAAAAGTGCTATATTTTCAAAAAAAATCAGAATATAAAAAAAAGTTTTTTAAAGTGAATTTTTTACATTTTTTAATTCAATATTAAAGCTCTTTATAGAATATAATTTTCAGTACGGAAAGTTTCAGTAATTTGCCTTAAGGCACAATGCCATGCGTCACTAGTTTAATTTTTTGGACGCTAGAAGCTTGGAAGTGCACGAATTCTTCATCTTAAGAGGGCTCGAGATCTAAAGAACATATTTTTTCTAAACTTTCAGCTCGTTTACGAATCTTTACATTAGCCAAATTGCCACATTTGATAATAACTTATTAACCAATTTGATAAATTACGTTCGGAGAGGGAGGCAAGTCAAAATAATAAATTTTAATAATTGGTTATTTAAACCCAAGTTTTGCATTGCAATCGTATTATGTTTTGTTAATTATTTTTCTAGAAATAAAAAATGTTATTAAAACAATCAGTTAACTATATTGTATATTGTTTTGCCGCCCCCGAAAATTTGCCGCCCTGGGTAGTAGCGCCGACTGCCCCTACTGTAAATCCAGCACTGTATATATATACATATATATATATATATATATATATATATATACAGTAGGCCCTCGCTTTACACGGCACTCTGGGTACACGGTTCCCATACTACACGGAGCTAAAAATCCGACATCCCTCCGACTACACGGACTTCTTATTACGCGGTATTTGGTCAACAGCCCATAAGTTCGTTGTGCAAAAGGGTATTGATGTAAATTTTGTTATCGACTTTTATCTTTTAGACATGCCTGATTGTATAATAGCCGCCTAAGAACACGTTTGAGCTGACTACTGCGTCGCGCCAATTTTTGAATAAGGTGTCAATGTCCTACACGTCATTTCGTCCGTATTTCTCCTACTTCAAGTTGTATTTCTTGGTCTCCATACAACGCGTTTTCTTGGTCTCTCATAGCACGGTTCCCATACTGCACTATGTAAGGTTCCATAGAACGCACTACGAATTAGCCTGAATTGTATGGTAAAAACGAGTTTCTTATAGCACGGTTCCTATACTGCACGGTACGCACTTGCCGCGTAAAGCGAGGGTTTACTGTATATATATATATATATATATATATATATATATATATATATATATAAGATTATATTCGTGCTTAGGATGCCAAAGCCAATCAAACACAATTGAGTTTCTCTGTCAGAAAAGAAACGACATTCAATGTTAATAATCACAATGCCAGTCCTAAACACTTTTGCACCAATATCTACTATTTTAAAGATAATTTTACTTTTAGGAAATTTTATTAATTACGCCCTGACGTATCTTAGGTTTTCACTCGTTTCCCTATCCTAGTGTCAAAGGCGCTAGTATCTATGACAATTATAGCGCGCAAAATTCAAACTAAAGAAAATTAGATATTTTTCTTTACATCTCCCCTCCCGGAAAAGATCATACAATGTAGCTGCTTACGTGTACTCTTCAAGCGTAGACAGGGGCTGCGGGGCTGGCGTTAGCTTTGAGATGTGCAAAAAGTTTGATTCTAATTTCTTATGGCCCGTGTCTATCTTGTAGATTGAGTTTGAAATTTTTTCCAAAATCTTGTAGGGTCCTAGTCACAATTCATCGAGTTTCTTCCTATTCAATCTATTTCCATTTTCAACAAAAACAATATCATTAACTTTAAAATCCATATGTCTTCGATTCTTATCATAAATTGTCTTGTTGTAGTTATGTGATCTGATTGTATTTTCTAATGCTCGTTTTCTGGTCTGTATTAAATCATATTCAGTCTTTTTCTGTTTAAGCTCATTGGGTAAAATCGTAACATCTTTACCATAAAGTAAGTAAGATGGGGCATACCCAGTAGTAGTGTGTTCTGTGTCATTGTATTTGTTTACACAGTCATGTGCTAAAGTTGTCCATGCAATTCTTGTGACATTTTCATTTATCTTACATCTGATTTTATTTACCAATGTTTGGTTTAATCTCTCGTTTAAGCCATTAGAGAAAGGAGAGTTTGCTGATGTGAAAATTATTGGGATATTCATTTCGTCCAAAAACTTCTTAAACTCTTTTGAGTTTATACCTGGGTATTGATCCGAGAGTACTAGTTCAATGTCATCTGTTTCTGCACAGTTTCTAATTAATTTGATGAAATCATTGGCATTTTGTGTACTTGATGTCAGACTATAAGCGTATCTCGTGAAATGATCCGATAACAAGTGTAAGTATCTCTTTGTTGATCTTGAACCACCAAAACCCCCAATAGTATCAATAGAACATATCTGGAAAGGTTTTGTGGCTGGACCCAAGTGGGACATTAATCCGTACTTATTTTGTCCTCTTGATTTATTTTTTAAACATACTATGCAACTCTCACAGATCCTTTTAATGTTTTTCGCCATATTTTCTGATGTGTACACGGTACTAATCATTCTTTGCATTTGTCTAGTTCCTATGTGACCTAGATCTGTATGTATATTCTTCATGAATTCTATACTAAATCTTTCTGTTATAATTATTTTTTCTTTATTCTTTACTTTCTTATAATATACATTATTTTTTGTTATTAATTTGTCTTTTCTGCATTGTATATATTCATTTTTGACCTGATCTTCTAAGATATCTTTAAGTGTTATTATATTTACCACTTTTAACTGTTCGTCTTGATTATCATTTGGTTCAAGGACTGGGTTTCTGCTTAAATAATCAGCTTCAATGTTGTATCTTCTCGGAGAGTATTTAATTTGGAAATCATATTGTGATAAGTAATATGTTAAATCTCCTAATTCTTCATCTGTTCTAGATTTTATGTTCATATTCTCCAGTGGCTTGTGATCTGAAAAAACTGTAAATTTTCTACCTATTAGTAAATGTTGCCAATACTTCACACATTCTTTAATTGCCAGGCATTCAAGATATATTGCTTTCTTCCTCTTTTGTACTTCATTTAACTTTTTAGAAAAGTATGCTACTGGTTTTTCTTCATTGTTTTCTTGTGGTTGTTTCAGAACTGCTCCGACTCCAAGAATACTGGCATCAGTGTAAATATATATAGGCAGATTGGGATCAAATATTGTCAGTATTGGTTGAGAGCACAATATTGTTTTCATTTCATCAAATGACTCTTGGCAAGCTTGTGTCCAGTTAAAAGTTTGTCCTTTTCTCAAAAGGCAATGTAATGGTTCCAGTTTTATAGCAATATTTGGCACATATTTATGATAAAAGTTAATTTTTTCCAAAAATTGTCTTACATTCTTTTGTGTTTTTGGAGTTGGGAAATTTTTAATTGATATTAAGTTGTCTTTCAGTGGCCTTACTGAATTGTTCTGTATTACATGTCCCAAGTATTTAACTGTGTCCGCTGCAAATATGCACTTACAAGGTAACCATCAGGTTTACTCTTCTGGGATTTTAATGAAACTTTGCATGGTTGTAGGGTTGATGGTCAAACCGAACACCTTTAAATATTAGAGTCCTATGGGAAGCGGTTTAATTAAAAAAATTAAACAAAAATTGATTAAAACTAAGCTCTATGTCTACGCGCGTTGCGCTTCGTATCAATGTGTCGAGATAGCCGAGTGGTTTGCGGCGCTTATTATCAACTTTTTGTTCCCATAGGACCCTAATATTTAAAGGTGTTCGGTTTGACCATCAACCCTACAACCATGCGAAGTTTCATTAAAATCTCAGAAGAGTAAACCTGATGGTTACCTTGTTAGAAAATTTAAGTTTCAAACCTTCGCTTTTAATTGTTTCAAATGTTTAACATGATCTGAAAAAGATCTTGAGAATAATAAAATATCATCGATGAAACATACGGTGAACTCTCCAAGCTTGTGCTTACGTATTATGTTACACATTATTCTTTGGAAAATAGCTGGAGATGTCTTTAAGCCAAATGGCAAGCACGTCCATTGATAGTGACCCTCTTGTGTCACAAATGCAGTTTTGTGTCTATCTGTAACACGCAGTGGTATAGACCAAAATGCAGAGTTTAGGTCCAGTGTAGAGAAAAACTTGCAATCTCTTGTTTTTACTATTAAGTCTTCAATGAAAGGGAACGGCTGCGATTGAGGCACAACTACTTTATTTAGGTCTCGGAAATCAATGCACAATCTTGATCTTTTATTTTCATCTCATTTATAAGCTAATGTAACTGGTGCTGCAAATGGGCTGTATGATTCTTCTATTATATTTTTTTCTAATAATTTTGCAATCTTGTTTTCAATCTCTTTCTTGTCTTCCATGGTGCAACGATATGGTCTTTTACTGCAATATTTTTCTACAAGTAAATCAATGTGTGCTTCATAATCAGTTACCTTTCCTATATCATATTTATCCTTTGCGAACGCATATTTATTTTTAAAAATCAAATCATCAATCACTGCCTGTTCTTGACAGCCCAGATGATTTATACAAATTTGGAAGTTTTCTTCTTTAAAGTCTTCATTGAAGTTTACTAAATTATCAGTTTTTTTCCCCTTAGAATTCACATCTGTTTTATTTGTCTCCTTAGAAACTGTTTCACTTCTTTGTATAGGTATTTTCTGACTAATTTCCAAATTTTTGTTTTGCACTAGGTAAAATTCTTTGATATAATCCAGTCCAACTAAGAAATCATAGTCAAAATTTTCTTTGTCTATTACAAAGACATTCATTTTTTTTTCTACATCAAAAATGGCTACATCCAGTGTAATTATGCCAGTTGCCTTTTTAACGCCATTAATCGTTTTCAAATTAGTGTTGCTGGAATGACTCGTTTCCTTATTATTTATCTTCAACAACTTTGAATTTATTAGTGAGACATTAGATCCCGAGTCGTAAATTCCGAATACTTCAATACATTTATTAAGCACTAATTTAACTTTGATCAATGGCGGCACTATTAGTTTTTTGTGTTTTCACATTGTATTATTTGCCTTTTATCTCTTTCAGTATTTATTTGTGCTTTGAACCAGCAGGAATCCTCTGGATGATATCGAACACCTTTCTTCAATTTTTCACAAATGCTACATTTTTCTTTAATTTGTTTAGAGTCTTCCTTTTTTTTGTAAAATATATTTTTTTTCCTTGAAACTAAATGTTCTAATTTGCCAAGTTCATTAAATAAATTTTTTGTATGCAAAATCTCTTCTTTATTAATTCTATCTGTGATAAAATCTGGTAAGCCAGCAGCAATGATATCAATTAAGGTTCCTTCATCCATTGTTTTTCTTACTTCTAGTAAAAGTCTTTCTTTTTTTACTGCATACTCTAATAAAGATCCTGATTGATATTTGAAAAATATAGCTTGCTAGTATTCCAACCTTTATTGGCATAAGTTTGCAAAAAATTTGATTTCCATTCTGACCACTCCGAATCTAGACTCAGCTTGATCATCATGGAAGAATACCAATCAGTACATGATTTTTCTAGAAATAATCTTAAAATTTCAATTTTTGCTTCATCCTTTTGTATATCAAATCTTGTACACTCTCTTTCAAATACTTCCATCCATTGAGATGCATCTGATTTTTGTCCATCGAACTTTTCTATTATAAATTTGTTCGATAACATTTTTACACTTTGTTTTTCTTTGTTCTGATAATCTTCAACTAATTTTTCCAATATTTTTACTATAGGATCATCTGAACTTTTTTTATCATAACTAGCCAATTGTTCATTAGTAGTTTCTTCTAGAAATTGGTCCTGAAAAATCATATTTCCATCCTCATCAACATAAGTTTGTAATAATTCCTCCGTTGCTTTAATCCACACATTTCTAGCTTGATATCTCTTTTTCAGAGTATTTTTTACTGTAGCATACTGTTTTAAATTTTGAATATGTTTGTGGAGTGTTACTGATTGATAATCTTCAGGGATAAGGAATTTTTTATCATCTTCTGTTGCAATTGAGGTTATGGCGATATAGTTTGATTTTCCGTCTGTTGTTGGTTTTACTTGAAACGTAAATTTCAACTTTTCCATTTTTTTTGACAATAAATGTCGTTTTATAAGATTATATTCGTGCTTAGGATTGCTTAGGATGCTAAAGCCAATCAAACACAATTGAGTTTCTCTGCCAGAAACGAAACGACATTCAATGTTAATAATCACAATGCCAGTCCTAAACACTTTTGCACCAATATCTACTATTTTAAAGATAATTTTACTTTTAGGAAATTTTATTAATTACGCCCTGACGTATCTTAGGTTTTCACTCGTTTCCCTATCCTAGTGTCAAAGGCGCTAGTATCTATGACAATTATAGCGCGCAAAATTCAAACTAAAGAAAATTAGATATTTTTCTTTACATATATATATATATATATATATATATATATATATATATATTAGTATAAAATAATAGCTAATGAAAATGAACATGAGTTACCTCTACGCTTTTAAAACTATGGGTGCTTTTTTGAGTCGTATGCACAAACAAAAGTCATCAAAAGAAAAATAAGTAGATTCGATGCAAGTGCTGTTTATTCATTTGAATAATTATATCTACCATTATTTCTTAAAGTTATATCACAAGCATTTCTTGATCAAAACGATACCGATACTTATTTTTGTATAATTATATTTCCATGCATAATCATTTTATTTGATTATATTTGTATATTTCTATATTATAATTAATACATATGCCATATCTTTTATCGAAATATAATAGCATTTGAGCAAAATAAATTAATACATTTTCTACTTTTCACAACTCGTTAAATATGTTAGACTCATATCTGGTGAAAATAGTTATATTAAAATGAAAAGTATTAAGAACCAAATTCCTTATAGAAATATTGAATATATCTAAAATATATAATATGTAATCAATGGAGAAAGTTTATACTTTAAAGAGAAAAGCAAAAACATTTCTATTACATGTTTATAAAAAATGCAATATATGCTCAAAGTTGAAATGACGTGATATAACTTTGAGAAATAATGGTAGATATAATTATTCAAATAAATAAACAGCACTTGAATCAAATCTACTTATTTTTCTTTTGATGACGTCATAATATGGTCCATATTATGGAGATCATAATATGGTCCATATTTATGGAGATATATATATAAGAATAGATATTTCATAAGAAATGAAATAATGCGCAATTATTAATTAATCGTTGAAATAACTCTAAAAATGAATGAAATTAATGTTACACTTCAATTTTGCTTCTGACAGAACTGTGTCAATACGCGCCGCGCATTTATGTTGATGTTGATGCATGGATGAGTGTAGCACTTTACAAAGTTAGTTTAGCACATAACAAACTAATAAATGGATATCATTTTTATGTTTAATGGTAACCTTAACCTTAATCATGTT